AAACCTGAATTAACTTCATACAAGTTGCTATTGTGACATATCTGAAATAAAAGTTAGAATATTTAGAAGCTATGTTAATTTCAAATACACAATTATTTCATTACTATTTCTATCTTAAAGAATATTCAGATATAGAGTCCCTCTTTTTTGTTGCTTTCTTTAATTTGTTTTATTTTAAAAACATGTCTTTTGTTGAACTTTACAATTTCCCCCCAAAAGAACTAGTGATTTATTTTGCATTTTATGGGAACTAAACAACATTGTTCACTATCTTTTAAACAAATGATTTGGGGGTTAAAAAAAAAGAAGCAAAAGGCAGTAATTCTGCTGTGTATAGAATGTTTTCAACTGTTTCTTTTACATTTCTCATTGGGGCTGAGTAGTTGAATTTTGTAATAAGATGACTTAACATCAGTTTTCAAAAGTTAACAGGATAAATTATGCCCTTTCTTGCTAAAGGGTTTACATTGTAAATCTGAACTAAAACAAAAAATTGAGAAGTGTGTGTAACACACACTGTGTGACCCACAGTATACAAACAATTGTCCTTAAAATTCTTTTTCTACCCTGAGTTCTTGGATCTCTGTAGTAAATACATTTCTTTTTAAGGTTTGAAAGGCACTGAATGCTTTTGAATGAATGATCACTTGGAGAAGAACTTTGCTTTGTGGTTCCAGTTCTCTTACATTTTATGAGACATCCTAAACACATAATTATCCTTATTTATTTGACGACACAAAATGTTGCTTGTGCTTTTAAACTGGGACTAATTTACACTTTCTCCAAATTTATAGGCACTGAGAGGAACCACACTCAGACTTCAAACTGCAGGAAGAAACAAAAACTCCCCAGGCAGTTACAATGGAAAAACAAGCAAACAACAACAAAAATAAATAAAATTAAACCCAAACAAAACACACACAAAACAAAAAACCCACAAACTCCTGTAAAAATCTTTGAAATCAAAAGCTGTCAGGAAATGTACATTTTTCTTTTTCCATATTCCTAGCAACCACATTCTTATTTCAAAATTTCATTCAGTAGAAATATAAAATAAAAATTCTATTTTAATATATTTTCCTCCTGCTTGCCAATATTTTGTTTTGTTATATTTCAAAAATAAGCCTCTGTTAAAGTGTGCTGTATATTTTGAAGATTTTAACAAAAGAAAACAATTACATGTCTCAAATGATCTATTTTGCACTATTTACAAAAGTAAAAATTTGATGTATCCTATGATACACAGATAATAAGCAATGAATTGTGTCCATTGGATTGACTAAAAATGAGTTTTGAAAAATTTGGGAAAACATGGGAAAGTGTGTGGTACAACATCAGTGAAAAGATAAAATAAGGTGACAAAATATGTCTAATTTACAGATAGACAAATGCTGGAAACATTTAAGAATAAAATTAATTTTGTCCGGTGGTGAAATGGTTTTTAGAGTCTATATCCAATTTTTAAAATTTTGTTTTATTCTCTTATTTCTCCCCCTTTGCATGATTTGTTTACATTGGAGAAAATGGATCAGAGTCCTGTCTTTCAAAAGGAGGCAAATTAGTGAATTTCATCATTAGACCCAACCGTTCTGTTGGAAAATGGAGGAGGAGGAGGAAGGGCAGCAGAGGAACAGAAAAGGAAGAACAAGAAGAAACAACAATAATTTTATTATTATTCAAGGAAGAAAAGAATTTATCCTGCAGCTGTATTTTTATTTTACTCTTATAGAAACTGAATTTAACTCTGCATGGAAGATTCACCCCTCCAAGACAAAATGTAGAAAAAAAAAAACTAAACAAGTTAGTTTTATGTAAACTCAGCAATAACAACAATAAACCAAAAGCAAGAACAGAGGTAGAGCTGTGGGACTCCAAGTCTGACCGTTCCTCTCCCCGCCCTGGGAACGTGTCTCTCCGAGGACTAACCCTCCTTTCAGGTTAATTTTAGGCTCAGAGAATAGAAATGCAAGCTCTGATCCCCCTCCTTCAGCCCCCAGCCCGGCTGAAACGCCGGGTCACAGAGGCAGCGCTGATGTGAGCCCAGGGCTGAATTCAGCCCGACGCTTCCTGCTTGTGTCCTGACAGCGCGCGCGCGAGCACACACACACACACACACACACACACACAGGCACGCACAAGCCCCTTTTTGGGGGAAGGGTGTGTGGAATCAGAATTCAGTCAAAAGCAGATTTAAAAAAAAATCACTTTCAATTGATCAATAATCAATTTAAATGATTTTTAAATAAAGTACCGAAATATATTCATATTTTCTTTCCCAATCACTTAAATACATCGATCACTGGCTAGTTTCAGCTAACATTGTGACTTTTTTTTACGTATTTTTTAAATATGCTTTGGGATTTTTTTCTCAATTTATTTTTAAATGGAAAAAAGTTAACTTAAAAGTGAACTGAATTCATTTACTTAATCTTTTTTTCTTTTAAACTTTTAACTGTGGCATAGTAAAAGGTGGCTCGCACTGGGCAGTCGTTTAAAGGTCTGGCTGCGGGTTTTTGGTGCAGGGTGGGAAGCGCTTTTGTTGCAGCGACAGAGTAGTAGATTCGTTCCCCAGGGACAAAGTCCAGAGGAGCTTTTATCAACACCTAAAGATTTACTCCAGGAAGAAAAGACCCCTTGCAATAGCTGGGACGCGGATACCCTGCCCACTCACCCTCTTCCTTGATCCCCAGAAAAGATTTAAGGAGCCGGGGAGTGGGGGCTCCCATTTAGCAGAAGGCGACGAACACAACAGACTTATTGAGACCCTCGTTTTTAGCTTAAAAAAAAAAAAAAAATCCACACTCAGCCTCTGGAAAAAGTCCCCGGGCAGCAGCCACACACACAACCTTCCGGCTTAGAGCATCGCATCCTGGACTCTTTATTAATTTCCAGACTCTCCGTGCAGGCTCTAGCAGCGCGCGCCCCCAGCACCGCGGGCTGAGCGCCTACTGTGTGGCCGGTGCCGCCCGCAGCCCATTGGCTGCGCCCGTTTAAAATCCCGCCCGCGGGCCGGCGCCGGTGCAGGCAAAGGCGGGGCGCCTCCCACCTCGCCGAAGCGCGCTTCTGCCCCGCGACCCAGAGCTCCTAGCATTTTCATTCCTGTTGCTTCGCGGGAAGAAGAAAAATGTCATAAAAGCAGAAATCCGATGCACACGTAGCCGGCTAGCGCGCAGGCGGGCTGTGGGGTGAGGGGCGGCGGGGGGCTTCCCCGCCCCCCACACCCGGCCCCATTCCTTTTCAGCGCTCTGGGAAAACCGGGAAGGGGGACAAAGGTGTCCGCGTCGCCTTTAACTCCCTGACTTTGGGGACGATCTAGGATGGTCCGGCAGGAGGCCGACGGGCAAGTCGGGCTCTGTAAACGAAAAATAGTCACAATAAAGCAATTTGAGGCGCTCGCGGCAAGGCAGTCAACACGTGTTACGGGGGCTGCCCGGGCGCGGACGGCGGAGACAATGCGCTCGGGTCGGGGGCCGGGAAAGTGACCCCTTCCCCACCTGTGTCCTCGTGCGCGCGCTCCACAGACCCGACCCGGGCTTGCACCCGCTCCACATTTCTGGGGGCGACACCCTCCTCTGCAGGGCCCCAGGCCGCAGAATTCTGGGGGCTCCGGTGTCCCCGGTCGTCCGCCCCGCCAACCCGGCCCCGCCTCCCGCCACTCGTCTGCCTCGCCCGCCGAGGGACCTGGGCGCGCGTGCAGCGAGCGTCCCGCGCTCCGCCGGGGACCGCGACGCCCCTGCGTCCCTGCCCCGCCGCCCGGCGCCCACGTGTCGTCCCGGACTCCGCCGGAGCTCCCAGGACCTGAGGATCCGAAAGGAGTCGGTGGGAGCGGGGCGCCGGTACTTGGGCGGATCCGCTCCCCGGGCCCCGCGCGAGGGGGGAGGGGCTGTGCCCGCCCCGCCCCCCGTTTCCCCCGCGCCGAGCGGAAACCGCCCCTCCCCCCGCGGGCTGACCTGGGGACGTGGGCGGGGCCTGCGCGGCCCCCGCCCCGGGCCGCTCCCGCCGTGCCGCGCCGCACCCCAAACAAAGTTCGGAGCCCGCGACCCCGCGCCCAGCTCCACCTGGGCGCCCCCGCGGGCCAGAAAGGCGCCATGGGTCCCCCACCAGTCGCAGGCGATCGCACCCCCCCCCTGCACCGCGCCCCCGCGGGCCCGGAGTCACTTGGCGGGGTTTGGGGGCGCGCGCGAGCGCTGTCCTCTCACGGCGGCCCTGGCGCGAGCGCCGTGTGCTAGGTCGCCCCCCTCACGGCTCCGGTCAGCCCCATCACGGCTCCTGGGCCTAGCGTGCCGGGTCCCCAGGTTCCCGCGTCCCGGATCCCCGGGGGCGAGGAGATCCCTCCGTGGGGGAGGGGCGTGGGGGCGGGGACCCCGGCTCTCGGATCTGGGGGAAAAGGCGCCTTTCCGTTTAAATCGCCGGCTCGTGCGACCCCCTCCGGAAGACCCCCGCGTCCCCGGCTTCTCTTTGTCTCTCCGCCGCCCCCCGCTTGTCAGTCGGTAGCAGTTAACCGGAAGGCAGGGTGCGCCACGCAGCCCCCCAAAACGAATAAAAAATTCTTGGCGTTTCACCCTGGAGGAGCGGGGACCTCGGGTCCGGGCCGCCGAGCCCAGCTCGGGCGCGTGGGGGAGGGGAGGGGAGGGTGGGGGCGGGGCGCTGCTCGAGGCCGGGTCCTGGCGAGGGGGAGGGGGCGAGGGGCGCTCGGGGACTGCTCCCCGCACGCGTTCTTCCTGCACCCCGGGGCCGAGTCGGGGACCCCAGATTCCCTCCGAGACAGGAGCCCGAGGGGTTCAGCCGGAGCGGAGCGCGGCAGGCCGGGTGGCGTCGGGGGTCCCCTGCAGCCGGCGGGGTGGGTGGGGGCTGTCACCACGTGGCTCGCCCTTTTTTTTTTTTCCGCTCCATTTTTTTTTTTTCCAAGTCGGTTTTATTTAGAGGCGGCGCCAGGGCGGCCGCGGGGAAACGTGACCCAGCCCGCCCGGAGGGTCCGGCCGCAGGGAGCAGGCGCCGCGCCGCGTCCCCGCCCGCCCGCAGCCGCGCTCCGCCCGGGCCCGCTCGCAGCCGCGCGGGGTGCGCAGAAAGTTTGCGGCTGCCGGCGCTCGCGATCGGCCTCGTCCGGGCGACACCGCCACCATGAACAAGCTGTATATAGGCAACCTCAACGAGAGCGTGACCCCCGCCGACCTGGAGAAGGTCTTCGCCGAGCACAAGATCTCCTTCAGCGGCCCGTTCCTGGTCAAGTCGGGCTACGCCTTCGTGGACTGCCCCGACGAGCACTGGGCCATGAAAGCCATCGAAACTTTCTCGGGTAAGCGCGGCCACCACCTCCCCGGACGCGCACGACCAGGCCCCGGGCCAGGGACCCCGCCCGCTGCGCGCAGGCCTGCAACTCCTGGGACCCCGTGCGCCCCGGGGTGCGGGCTGGGCCTCCCCTGCCACGCCGATCACCCCTTGGGCCCCCCCACCCTGGCACCCGAGAGCCCCTCGCCCTTCCCCCAGCCCCGAGAGAGGAGCTTGGGGGTTCTCTACCCCTCCTTCCCCTTCGACGGGGCGGGTGTCCGGCTTGGCAGAGGGGGAGGTGGAGTTCAGGGCGCCCAGGCCACCCCGATCTGGGGGTTATTTCCGCGTCCAGCCTCTCCCAGGCCACCCTGGATGGCCCCTCCACTTGGGCACCCCCCCAGTGCTCCGTCCTCGGCCTTAGGCCTTTCTAGGTCCCCCACCCTCCTCGTCTTCGTTGTCCCCGCTTTCCCTAGGGACTGCACCCCTTGGACAGAGCCCGGGGTAAGGGGCTCCCGCGTCCCGCCCAGGGACTGGGGCTCGAGCCATTTTGATTTGAAAGTGGGGCGTGAGCGGGGCAGCGCGCAGCGCGAGTCGCCATGCTGCTCCCGAGACGCCGTGGCCGGGCCAGGGGCTCGCGCTGCACCCGCCGGGGACCCTGTGGCCCCGGGGCCCCCAGCCGCCCCGACAGGTGACCGCCTGCGGGCACGAACCTTTCTCCGGGGCTCCGAGGAAAAATAGTTTCCTTTCCCCACGTCCCCACCCCTTCCAAAAGCCAGCCCCCTCCTCCCTCTGCGGCTCGGGTGCGTGGAGGCCGGGCGCGCACACGAATGCCCTGCACATGTCCGAAGTCGGGCCCGCAGAGCGAGCCACACGTTTCTCTTCCGTGATTAAAACAAAAACTAAGCTAACAACGAATTTTTGGCTTCCACCATGCCTAAAACGACCTTTCCCCGTCGGCCTGCCAGACCTCCGCCCGGGCTCCTAGGAAGAACTGGAATCTCAGGAACTCGGGTGTCGTCCCTGTCCCCGTCCCTGTCCTTCCACCGGTCACTCCTTCCTGAGTATCCATGCCTTTTTCCCCCCATCTTTTTAAATCTTCAGGGAAAGTAGAACTACAAGGAAAACGCCTAGAGATTGAGCACTCGGTCCCCAAAAAACAAAGGTAAGAAACACGCCTTCGGGAGAAGGGGGATGTTTAGGGGTCCTCAGTGTCTCCCGGGGAAGAAACCCCACGCCGGCCTTTCCTGCCCCCAACGCCGGATGTTGGGGGCTGGGAGTGAAGATTTGGCCAAGACCTTGTAAATGGGTGGTTTGCAGCTTGTTCGGATGGAGGGTAGGAGAAAAGAAAAGTTTGGGCCTACTGGGAGATGCGGCTTGCTGAACGAAACGGGAGGGGGAAAAATCACTGGGCTTTAACAAACCTCCCTCAAACTGGAGCCATTTTTGTGGGGTAGCGAAACAATCCTCCGAGTTGATATTGGTGGCCGTCGCCTAGGGTGCTGCTTCCTCTGGGATCTCCCGTTCTGTGCCCCCACCCTTCGCACCCATAATTCCGAAGTGACTTTAGGGTGATGTTTTCCAAATCCCAGGGGCATGTGGCTCGAGCCCCCACTCCCAGAATTCTTCTATGTTGTGTGTTACATTTGTGTAACAGGCACAGACACTGGGCGTGTGGGTACATATTTCCACCAGGCCTCCTGCCCCCCAGTGCCTTGGCGTCTTACACTGACCCCTTCACAACTGTATTTTCCAAAGAATATTCTGCGGCTGCCCCAGTCTTCCGAGCCCCCCCCCCCCTTCAGCCCATTGTTACAACGGACCATCTGGGGTGAGAGCTTTGTTGAGGCTGTGAGCTGGGGCTCTTTGCATGGTCTAGAACTCCGTGGCTGAATGCTCTGTGTGTGTGTGTGTTCCAATACCCTCTATCCTTTCCAACAAAACGGGGTACCTCTGCGTGCTTGCAAAAAAAAAAAAAAAAAAAAAAAAAAAAAAATCATGGTGGATTTCGGATCTGCCGCCAACTCTTCCTGCTTCTGCCTTCTCATCAGACTTGAAACACTGGCAGGGCAGGGTTCTCTCCTGGCCGCAGCTGTGGGCAGCTCCCAGAAATCTTTGATCTCCCCAACCTTCAGGTCCACTTCCCAGTTGCTCTGCACAGCCCATAGAGCCTGTTCAGTGGGAGACGTGGCTGCGCGGGGCTGTGGTTTTTTGTGTTTCTGGAGAGCTGTGAGGGGTCCAGCTGGGAGGTTTGTCTGGTGATATTTAAGTAACTGGCAACTGTTGTATCCATGAATGATCAATACGCTTGTTACTATGTTTAGAGAGCTTGCACTGAACCTCAAATGTTTAAAACACTCTTATTGGGAATGTAATTAGGGTTAGGCATCAAGGGGCACTAAAATTTGAAGGAAGGAAATAGAGTACTGTTTGGAAGCATTTTCTGCCGATGAAACTACGAAACACTCATTAACCCCATAGATTTATTGAAGAGGGTGGAGGTTTGAATAGAGACGCTGAGAAATTCGGCCTCCTAACTGGAATTCTGGAATATGCAATCATTTTTCCTTTAGCTTTGAGAATGGTTTAGATTTTAAAGGGAATGAAATAAAAAGCAAAGTGAAATCACAACATGTGATGAAACAGAACTCAAAACGTTTATATTTTAATTTTCATGGTGCGCTGTGTTTGTGGATCTTTTTCCCCAAGCCAGCAGCCTGCTTTTGAGTCATTTTTGGGTTCCTTGTCCCCCCAAAACATGTTGCTGAGGGCTCTTTTGAGGTGGGATGGGGGTGGGTCCTTGTGAGGAGACTGGAGGAAAAAAATCTCCCTTTCCACATGGGTATTAAATGAGACCTTTTGTGTGTTCTTCCCTTTCCTGATACATTTTTTGAGTCCAAACATTGATTCGAGATTGTGCTTTCCTTTCTTTTTTGGGGGGGTGCCATGGTGAGGGTGAGAGGGTGACTTCATTTTCCCAGAGTGAGTCAAGTTTTCAAAAGCTCAGGATCTTAAAAAACAGTTTATTTTCCTTAAGTCCGTTTGCTCTGTCGTTTTGTGTTCTCTGAGGAAGCTTCTTGGGATGTCTTCAGGCTGTGTCTGAAAGTATTTCTGGACTCTGGGCTTCTTCCTGGCTTTTTTAATCTTGGGAAGAGAAAACCAGCTGATTAAGGATCATATTCCGAGCCAGATGAACTGCATGGAGGTAGTTTGTGTGTATATATATGTTCCTGAGTTTCCACTATTTAAAATAGAGGACTTTTCTTGATGAAAGTTAGTTTCAAATGAGTTGTAATTTAAATTTCTAAGGTCTCACAGAACCCAGCAACCTTGGTGTTCCTGGTTTTCTTTTCCTTTAAAGATGAGGAAAATCAAACAAAAGATGTATTACACAATTATCTCTGGACAGCTCCGATTGGAAAGTATTAATATATTTTGTTCTCATTTCAAAACCACTTTAATAAATATAATTTACATCTTTTTAAGAAGTCAAGGGACAACATTAAATTTAAGTCAAAAATAGCAATGTGGATCTTTCCAAACCCCTTTCTTAATTTCGTTAAGAATTTAAGCTTTTTGTTGAGAATTTATGTAGACATACAGAGTCGTGTCCATGGTTGGTGCTGAGGAGAAAAGCCAAAAGCATTTTGAAGAGTTGTGGAGTTTGGCCGTTTCCTTGGGAGAGACCAAGAGTGGCCAGGCTAGAGTTTCACAGTCCTAAGTTTGGTGATTGTCTCCAGGGGTGGGCTGAGAGTTGTGATTCTGTCCTTCAGGCTGATTTAAAGTGAGGTGGCTCAACATTTCCCCCTAAATTTCCAACCAGCAAAATGAAAACCAGTCTCCAAAGACCATGTGTCCTGACTTGACTCTTGCCTTAGAGTTAAATTTTCTGATGTTAGTGGCTTTTAAAAATACCTGTGAAAGTTTCTTATAAATGGTTTAAAAAAGTTGGCAGCTTAAAAAATGATTTATAGAGATTCTGAAGAACTTGGCTGACAAAGTATTTTCAAAACAAGCTCAAAATTTTACCTTTAGGAATAGTTTCCCATTTGATGAAAGAAAAATACAAACTTAGAGTTAAAGGCTGAAAATAAAGGGTTTTTTTTGGTTTTGAAATAAGGGTGTGAAAGGTACCAACAAGTGAAGTTTTCAGGTACTTTTCTGCAATCTGCTAAGTAGAGGTTAGTTAGTATCTGCATCAGAAAGGAAGCTGACAACCCAGGAGGAGACAGATACTACATATAAGGTTGTTCAATTTCAAGTGGAAACAATGTAGGATCCTTTATCAAAGACTCTTAAATGAGGTTAGATTTTTTTTTTTTACAGTGGAAAAGTAGCTAGTTCTTAAGTTTCTGTTTATTTTTGTAGAAAACATGCAAGTTGGTTCATTTTGTCAATTTTAACTTCTTCCTAGAAATTAAAGTTTATAAACTGAACTGATTTTCCTTCCTTGCTAGTACCTCCTAGTTCCTTGATTTGGTGGTCAGTGTTTCAGGATGAGACATTCCTAAGGGCAGCGTGTTTGGCTGTCCTGTAGAATTTTCCATAATCCTTGATGGCTTTCCATAATCCTTGATTTTCTGACTCAAATTAGAAGCATGAAATTTAGCTCTGATGGCTTCTCAGATGGAGAACTTTTTACTAATGAAGGGGTGGGACTGCAGTTGGGGGCTAAATTATTCAAAGTGCAGTTAATTCTTCCAGGCGAACCATTTTAAGTTGTATAGCTTTTGGTAGAGAAGAAAAGTTCTCCTAAAATCATGTTTCAGAGATGAAATGTGTAACACTTGCAATTGGAAGACAATTCAAAGATTCTTAGTTTCTAAGCTTTTAAAATTACCTGATTATGTATCATTTGAACTTGGCGGCGTGTGGTGTTTGTGTATGTACTTTTAAAGTGTATTCTGCCAGTGTGTTTATAATTGTGCCAGGCAGTTGAGACTAAGCTAGGCTAGTGCATAGACACTTGGAGCGTGATTTTTAAAATTTCAGATCTGATTCAGTTGAATGAGAAGGGAGACTGGCAAGTGCTGGTTGAGGTTCAGGGATTGGGGTGGAGACACAGATATTGATTATTTGTGGGGAGGGGATTGGGACCCTCTGAATGCGTGTGTGGTGTGAACCAAAGCCATTTGAAGAACTGTTCTTTCAGCTGTTGGAATCTAAATGTCAGCTCCTTCACTCCTTTCTCCTGAAAGATGCTGAGGAGGTGGCTGGCACCTTTCAGAAAGTGAGCTTAGATGTTGGGAGAGGGGTGTTAGGGACTCTAGGTGGGGAGCTGGGAGGAGCAGCGTGGAGAGTGGAGGGTTCCCGGCTTTCTTTTGAAACAAGACAAGCCCCTGCAGGCTGCCATCTCCCTGCCCAGTGAGGGGTTTGGGGGCCACAGGGTCTGTGCTGGGGCAGGGCTGTTTTGTGTCCGGAGTTCCCTGTGCCTCCAAAGATGACATCTTTCTCCAGGGTCCCCAAGAGTCTGGAAAGTTGTGCACCCTGTCCCTTGGCACCCCATCCCTTCCCTCTCACCCTCCAGTGAGAGACCGTCGGAGATGGGGTGAGAGGAGGAAACGGGGTGGGGGTGCAGTTCTTGTTCCGGCTGTGGGGCCCCTTGACCCCCGGGACAGAGCCTTGCGGAGTCACTTGGTCACCCGCAGTCTTCGCAGAAGGCGCCGTGTGGCCAGTCCGTAAGGTTGAGGAATGATAGGGTCCGCAGGTGGATTTTGCTTTGGCCACACAGGCCAGGCATCCGGGCCTTCGCTTGTAGGCTCTGGGACTCCCTCAAGGTCTTTGCCAGAGTTTGGCTCTGCAGGAACAGGAGTCCGAGGCTCTTCCCCAGTGGCCATGCCCTGCTCTGCCCCACCTTGAAGTGGGTGCCTGCAGGGAGATCGGGCCCTCATGGGTGGCCCCTGTGGGACATCAGACCCCAGCCTTTTCACCCTCAGGCACCCAGGGACCTGGCTGCCAACAGGAAACTGTCCTAACGAAGTGTGGGCCAGATACATGGACAATTCTAAAGAATTGTTGACCAAGCTGTGCAGATAGACACCTTGACACAGATCTGATTTTAGATCAGTGACATTTTGGTGGCTGGAAAGTGTGTGGGACTGAGGAAGGGATGGCTGGGAGCTGCGCTTTTAGTTTAAACAAGAATTTAAGGGGTTGGGGATTTTG